GCTGCAATGTAAAACATTGTAATTCCAGAGAAACTAGAATGTTTACATTGCAGCACAAAGTCTGCCCTCTGTGGGCTAGAGGGCTCCCGGAATCCAAACTGACTTTTGGTCCTCACGGACCTCCAACGTCAGATTTTCCCCATAGGAAAGCATTGAATAATGCTTTCCTAGGGGGAGGTCTAATGTACGCGTGGCAATTGCCACACATGCGCATTAGGTCTCCCCCGCCGGCTGATGGTGGGGGAGGAGCGTGTGCGTAGCCTGACCCAGCGCCGAGGGATATTGGCGCTGGATTCAGGTAAGTGTCTGGAGGGATTTGGACCCCTTCAGCACTGGAGGGGGGAACTCCAGGAGCCTAAAGTGTAGGGAAACCGGGTTTGCTTTCCTGGCACTATAGGATCCCTTAACGTCTGTGTAACCGAGCTCACAAGCAGAGCTATTTTCTTACAGTAAGTGAAGGCTTTGCACAATGCTTGGGAAATGAAATGGTACATCAGGTGTAATTTTACCTGCCATTATTAACAGCTATAAAACAGTAAAAACAGAAAGTAAAATGCATGCTGGCCTCAGAGCAGCTAGCAAGCAAAATCATAGAATCAAGTTTATAAACACATACATTGAATGCCTGTCTGTCGTCCCCACCAAACCTTGACTAAGACCCCGCTAAGGCATGCACAAAGCACAAACACAGGATATGGTGTTGGGAATACCCTGTAACTATCACTGCAAACTTATAAAATACTACAGAGTACATTGCAAGAAATTAAATAAAAACCACAAACCGAGATACAAAGTTAAAGCTGCATGTGAGACTTCAAAGTATCTCAAATTGCTACTGATGGGGGGGGGAGGGGGAGGGGGAGGGTATATGTTTTAAATGCAGTGTTAAAACCATAAAACCACAGACCTGACAATCTTTGTATGCACACAGACAAGATCTGCATTTGAGATTAAAATAAAATCAACATTAAGCTTGGGACGATTGGGCACACTGGCACATCATGATATCTGTGGACAGGGCTCTCAGACTCTACCATAGCCAGTTACCTTCTATATGTCTCAAGCAAAAAAAAAAAAACACCAAAACCGCTTCATCTTGAAGTGTTTTTTGTGTATAGATGCTCCCCTTGTTATCTTACCGCTTAAAACAATTCTGAGAACAAGCAATGTTAACAATTGTCAGATAACACGGTTCTATTGGCTGTCAGGCTGACAACAAGCAGAGGCACTTCCTCAATAAAGGCTTCACATTTGGCATCAACACACAAGGTACGAGAATACAAAATGCGTCTATGCGATTGACACGCATGCACCCCATGCTCCAAAGATTTTCTATAAGTAAAGTAGCATTGTACAAAAGGTATACATATATGAGTATTTCACCGTTGGTGGAACAGAGTCTGATCTGACCCTCGAGGTTGTTGTATTGAGGAGGAGGGGCACGGCAGGAGTAAAACACTAATGTTAAAATATAGCAGTGCAGTATTAAAATAATTTTCTAATAATTCAGTATTAACACACATAACAGAATTAAAATGCCATAAACACCGAGCAGAACTGGTGAGATGGCACGTGACGGCAAGGCCTGCACTTTATTCTGCCACAATGGAACATCTGACTGACTGTGTATAGGGATGTATGTTAATGTATACATCAGCTATTTCACCAATGCTGTGCATGCTTTAATGGAACGCTAAGCAAATATAGATACAAGAACGTTTCAGACAGAGGATCACGCAAACATCCATATTTATTACTTAGAAGACAGCACGGTTGGCAGGGAATACACAGCGTTACAGGCGTGTCCAAAAACAGCATCTGACATTAAAGCAAACAGAAACCACACAAGTGCTGGAGGTTATGGAACCAAAGTAAGTCCGAGCGGACAACCCAACGCTAGGTCCATGTAATAGCAATACATTGTAGCAAAGCACTCTGACACCCTTTCCAAGTGTCAATTACCACAGTGACCAAGATTTGTTTAGAGCAGACTGGGTTTCTCACTGTGTAAAGAGTAATTCACACAAGTGCAACCACAAAAAGTTGATAGGAAGGATCAGATTCACACCAGGGGGCAGGAAGAGGACACTAAGTTAATCTGCTTGTGGGAAAAGAACAAAAATAACTTCTTTGGTAATTAGCTCTTCGGGAACTGTTTGAACAATCAAACCCCTACATAACAAAGGGTTGGACTGTCCCCATTACACCAATACAGTCCTGCCATAAAAATACACATACTGCACTGTGGAAGATAATATGTCAGCAGTAGCCCCACTAAGTGCCATGATAGGTAGGTGGTAAGTAAAAGAAGTGCCCTGGCATACTGCAAGACTGAATATCAAGTATGGGGTCCATGCCAAGGGCTGGTAGAGGATAACTATATACCACTACAGATTACTTTAACAGTAGTGTACCCCAATAGTCTCTCACAGTGTCACCAAGTTTAGTATCAAACTATGAAGAGAGTCGTTTGCCACAATTTGGTCAGTTTTTTTTTAGAACTGTGGGACCATCTCATCTTGGCTGCTTGTTAATACCAAATGACCGCATTATTAAATTTAGCATCAGTTTCATCCAGTCTAAACAGTGATTGGTGATTGGAGTGCAGAGCACGTTAATCTTAGCCTAGCGGTTCCCTAAAGGTGTGCCGCTGCGCCCCACGGGCATACAGGGGCCCTCCCAAGATTTAGTTCTGGATCCGTCCCTGACCGGGAAGCATTTCTGCAGAACAGGGGCCCAGTATATGCCGCAGCACTGCACATATATACAACCCAGCATTTTTTTTTGACTTGGAGCGTCTTAAATAATATATTGAAATATTAAAGGCGCCTTGAATCTAAGAAGTTTAGGAACCACTGTCTTAGCCAATCAATGCTGCCCAAGTTAGACAAAAGCCATACTGATAATGTGGGCTAATTCTGTAATAATTCTTCAAATTAACAAAACATGAATAACCAACCTCCCCCACCCCTGTCCCAAACAGAATCAAAATGCAAACCACAGGCTTCACAGAGTTAGGTGCTCTATAGTCCAGTTTATTGGGTTTTTTTGGACAGGAGATCTCAAAGCAGACAGATTGGAGCAGCAGTGAGGAGACCTTCTTGCAACAGGTTTACCAGTACACGAACCCATTATTTAGGGGGAAACGCAGTGGCCGAAGTCTAAATTGGCAATGCAGTTATCTTGTTAGCCACATGCTGTAGTAAAAGATAGCTTACGGTAATAATATAGTTTTGCCAGACCTATCTGCAATCCAATATATACAAAGAATGGAAGCTGGTGCCTCCAACATGCACAATGGAGCTGTATCTTGAGGTAACCATAGTACCCAGCCACATACATAATCGTAACAGTCGTAGTGTGTGAAAAAGACAAAAAACATATCATCTTATTTCTCTCATCTGTGCAAAAACGGGAAAAAGTAAAACACTGAATAAACACGCACATAGTTTGTAGGATACGGCATGGAAAACTGAGTACAGCACCAATGCGTAATGTACGGCAAGCCATGGCTCTGATACAATTATTTCATAAGAGAAAGACAAGTTTTACATGAAAAATTTTAATAGAATAGAAAACGATGTCTATAACAGATCTAGACATACAGGTATGTTTCTATTACACTCTACACACCTTCCCTCCCTCGTGTAAATGAATGGGTGGACTAAATCATCACGGGTATGGACAAAAGGAGGTTCTAAATTACAAAACGCAAATATAAATATAGATGTAAACGAGTGTTATTATATAGAGACTCTACATAATAAACAAAACTGCTACAATTGCTAAACTCAAGAACACACAGAGCAAATTACTAAAAGTGAATTTGAAATGTAAGCCCGGAGTGGCGGGACTGAAAGCCAAGTGATTTTACTGAATCTTTCCATTTCCGTTATTTAAATTAAATTATTAAATTAGAAATTTACATTGAATTCTCAGGGTAGCTGGGACCCCAAGAGTAATTAGTGCACTCTCTTTGCTATGTATGATCATCGTGACTCTCCGAGTATCTAACACCCAGACAATGTGTAGGGGAAACCAAAGTTCACAGCAATTACTATGGAAACAAAGGCTCTGATTCAATCCATTGTTTTATCGGACCACTTTTCCTTATCAATGGTCTTTGTATAATGACCCCCACTATTAAACTTTGATTACAAAAAGTGCAACATGGTAGCCAAAAAACTAAAACGGATGCTCCAGTTTAAATGTAATCTATTCTGGTCAGAGTTACATTAACATGCAAAGCTACAGAATCGTGCAACAGACAGACATGCGACATGCAATTAGTGACACAGAGACACACAACCTGTGCAAGTCAGGGTCTAAATGTTTCAATTCCTTTGGCAAAATTGTGAACAAACCCAATCAGTACGCTTACACCGTTAATAATTAAATTGTATTACATGCATTAAAGAAGGAAATGTGAACATCTGAGATAACGATTACAACTTTCCCTAAAATTTGCAACTTCCTGGTCAGTCCTCATGACAACTAATATCCCTGATGGACGCACAGAAAAAGCACAGTCACACACAAATACAGATACATGGGTACACAACAATAATCCCGCCCCCGTATTACCCCTCATACAACAACAGCCCCCCGCTGTTATTCTGTATGGAGCCCCGTGCTACTCTGTATGGAGCCCCGTGTTATTCTGTATGGAGCCCGCTGTTATTCTGTAGACTCCCCCCGGTATCGGTATTGCCCCCCCCCGGTATCAGTGTCCTTGTCTCCGGTTTGGTATGGCCCCAATTGTCGGTTTGAGTATTGCGGTATCAATGCTCGCCCCCATTATCGGTTTGGTACTCGCTCCCGGTATCAATATCCTCGGTATCGGTATATCCCCTGGTATCTGTATGGCCCCATCATCGGTTTTGGTGTATCGCCACCCGGTGTCGGTTTGGTATCCCATATGGGTTTGGTATGGGTCCCATTATCAGTTTGGTATCGTCCCCTCGGTTTGGTGTCGCTGATTATCTGTATGGGTGTCCCCGATGTCGGTTTGGTATCGCGGTATCTGTGTCGGTTATCCCCGATGTCGGTTTGGTGTCGGCCCGGTATCTGTATCGATTATCCCCATGTCGGTTTGTGGTGCTCCTTCGATTATCTGTATCGGTATCCGTATCGGTTTGGTGTCGCCCCGATATCTGTATGTTGATTATCGGTTTTGGTATCGCCCGATATCTGTGTCGGTATCCCATTATCGGTTTGGGTGTCGCCCCGGTGTATCTGTCATCGGTGTCGCCCGGTATCGGTTTGGTATCCGCCCGGTATCTGTATCGGTATCCCGGTATCTGTATCGCTTCGGTATCGGTTTGGGTATCCGGTATCTGTATCGGTATCCTTCGTATCGGTTTTGTATCGCCCCCGTATCTGTATCGGTATCGCCGGTATCGGTTTGGGTATCCCTTCGTATCTGTATCGGTATCCCCCGTATCGATATCAATTATCCTTCCCGGTATCGGTTTGGGTATCGCCCCGGTGGCTGTATCATGGTATCGATATATCCCCGGTATCTGGCCATCGGTCATCCCAGTACCGGTTTGGTATCCTTCGACCATCCCCAGTATCTGTATCGGTATCCCCGTATCGGTTTGATCCGCGCGGTATCTGTATCCTTCGGTATCGAGTATCCAGTATCGATATCTGTATCGCCTCCCCGGTATCGGTATATCCCCCCCGTATCTGTATCGCCTCCCCGGTATCGGTATATCCCCCCGGTATCGGTATCGCCCGGTATTGATATTTACCTGCGGGAAGCTCTGGCTCCGCTCTCACTGACACATCAACAAAGATGGCGGCCGTGCCGTCAGCTCTAGCTCCGCCTCCACCAATCAGAGCGCGGCTGCGGCGTGACGTCAGAACGCACCTTGCGAGTCCTCCAAGGTGACTGGAAAGGGGAGGGGCGAGGGGGAGGGGTTAACCCTGTGACCGCCGGAGTCAGGAGAGCAGTTAACCCTTCATTGACCGAGCACCTGGAGGAATGAGCGTTAACCCTTTGACAGCCAAGAGGAAGGAGCATTGACTGCAGAAAGACAGTTAACCCTTTGAGTGCCTGTAACAATGAGCAATAATAAAGCCATTGACCTCACAGCCGACGCGTTTCACAATCCGCCTATTCGCTAAACTGGGAATCGGTGTAAGCACACACAGATACCGAGCCGCACAATTATTACACTTTATCTACAGTCTCCAAAATACCCGCTTTAATAACCAAGATAATCTGTGTGAAGCGAAATGCGTCGGGTAACAATACATCCAGCCGTGCATGTACACCCCTCATATTGTACTGCGCTATGGAATATGGTGTTGCTCAGAGAAATCTCCTGTCACTGTAAATTACACCATGGAATATAACACTGAAAATCACCTATTATTGTGTCATTTTCTGCATGCAATGCTCCATTTTCTTATAAATTTACTTTAAAGATTTTAAAAAAAATTATTTTATTATTCAGCTTTAAATAGTTCACAGTTTTGTTACTACATCATACCTAGACGCATCTTATATAATATCTTAATTCAAAGAATAGAACAGATATGATTTCATACTCGTTTATCTGGTCTATATGTCTAACATACATGTGTCAACTTATTTTCTTTTATTTAGATTAAAAAAAAAAGGAGAAAGGTAACTAAAATAATAACTAAATAAATAATAACTATCGTGAAAGAGTTAAATAGGATAAGAAAAAATAAGAATAAGCTGAAACCATCAATTTCAATTCATTCGGATAAATTATTATACTGCAAGTGGGTTCGAAAAGTGCTTTCAGTTGCAATTAAGAATTCCTTAAATTTGTATATCTACATTATATTATACCCGCAGTGTTTTAAGTAAACAAGTCCGCAAGTAGAAGAGTTATGATCAAAGGCAAATCGTGTTTGAATTCATTTCTGCTGGACTTCGGTTTGGGACTCATTAATAACTTAATATAACATGTTTATCATATTTTTCAGATATAAGCCTTTTGCATTCTGAGTGCGGCTGTCGGACACCGTCTGGTTTATAATAACTAATTGTAGATTATAATTTATCATACAGGTTTTCCCATTGTTCCCATGCTTTACACCAGCAGGGGTTTATTTTTTGAGTTTTTCTATCCTTACTTTGGTACATTTTAGACTGCTTGATACTTTATATAGAGAAAATCATTATTGATGTAGGAATAGATTTCCAATTCTTACTTGTAGCTAATAGCACTGCTCTTGTAAAGGTGTAAATTAAGTATTTATCTGCACGTGTCACATTTTGCAGGTAATAATATAGGAGGAAGGATTGCGGTTTGTAAGGGAGAATAATGTTGGTACAAATCTTAATAATTTTTTTTTTATTTCTTTCCAAAAGTTAACTATATTGGAGCACTTCCACCATATGTGTCCCATTAAGCCTATGTTATGACATCTCAAACATAAATTAAAAGCGTTATCTTGTATTAGTGCTAGTTTTTGGGGGAATAAATATAATCTATTAAAGGTGCACTATAGTGTTAAAACCAGCATCTAGCCCCCCGCTGATCCCCACTTGCCTCCCTAAACATAGTAAAATCTAACTTGTATTCAAGTCTGCAGTGAATGATCCCCTTTAGTAGTGAATGATCCTCCTATAGTACAGTGAATGATCCCCCTATAATACAGTGAATGATCCCCCTATAATACAGTAAATGATCCCCCTATATTACAGTGAATGATCCCCCTATACTACAGTGAATGACCCCCCTATAGTGCAGTAAATGATCCCCCTATATTACAGTGAATGATCCCCCTATAGTACAGTGAATGACCCCCCTATAGTGCAGTAAATGATCCCCCTATAGTGCAGTGAATGATCCCCCTATAGTGCAGTAAATTGTCCCCCTCACATACACTCTATGAGTAGCCTTTGTGTAGACTTGTGACTGGTGCCATGAAGTTAGATGAAGAATGGAAAGCCAAACTCTGACTGCATCGCCAGTGTCAGTGACTCTTGGAGAGGCTTGGAGTCAAGCTTCCTGCCCACAGACTAATGGGGAGGGCCCTAGATACTTATTCTGCTTCCCAACCTGAATTTGGGACCCGTGGGGATCACCTGGACTCCTCCTACACATCGAGCGCCTGACTGGGAGATACTCTGAAACTGTTCAGCGTATTTGGACTGTGCCATGACACAGTGAATCTTTAATCGGGTATCACTCGGTACCCCAACCACCAAACAGGGTGCTCTTTGGAGGGGAGGTCAGGGAGGCGTTGAGGCATTGGACAATATCTAGGGTTTGAGATGCTCCCCTCCCTTGAGCCCCAAGAACATCTTTTGTGACACTGGGCTAAACCGTTGCACGCCTGGAATCCCTTCAATACACCTGGAACCCCTCAATGATCGGAGAATAGCCGTGATCCAGTAAAACTTTAACACGCTATAACTCGGGCGCGGAAATGAGGTCACAATTTGGACAGCGAGGGTGCTCACTGACGAGCTATCGAGGGATATATAATGTGTGGAAAATGCTGTCCAGAGAAAGTGGATTCGGTGGAGATTTTTTTGTGTTGTGCCTCTAAGACTGTGAGGGCACCTCAGGGAACCCGAGAGAGTCCCCAGACTGAGTGGCACAGGGGTGGAACTATTGTAGTATGCCTAGTATGGTATGCAGGGCCTCTGCAGTGAGAATCAACACTTCTCTGTATAAATAGCTGTGTTGTGTGCAATAAATATAATTCTATCTCCTACATTCAGTCTCGACTAATGCTTGGGGGTAGAGCTATAATCATTTCTTTACAGAAGGTCTCCCGAGGAGAGAGCGCTATAATTGCTTCAGCCTGATCTGGTGGAAGAAGTCCTCAGAAACTCCGGTCAAGCTTAAGCGCTCCATGGTATATAGTAGCAGTGAGGAAGGTGACCTTTCGGAGGTACTGGAGCTCTGTCAAAGAGGCCAGGAGATCAACCGGTGCTGGATTTTGGGTGAGTTCATGTTAATGTTATAGCGTTATTAGTGTTTATGTTGGGGGAACACATAGAATAATGCCCAATAGGTCATTATTCATTAAAAAAAAGTCCAACAAAAAAAGTTGTTCAGTAGTTTAGCGGATAACTCCCTAAATTGGTACTTTATGACTGCTTCCTTCATTTATTCCCAAAAGGGAATAATGTGTGTCTCAATTTTGAAAATGAACGGCAAACAAACTGAAATGTGAAAATAAACAAAGTGAAACTAAATTTTTTTTACTATAATCACAACGTGTTGTTTAGAGCAGTGTTCTCCAACTCAGTCCTCATGGACCACCAACAGTCCAAGATTTGTGTATTCCAAAGGAGATACTGATAAACCCTGGACTGTTAGTGGTCCATGAGGACTGGGTTGGAGAACACTGGTTTAGAGCATTCATTTAATCAGTGACTCTTCATGCCAACTCATTGTGTATGTGTGTATGTGTATATATTTATATATAGACACCGCCACATGTACAAGAGAAATGCTGATTGTATTATCAGTGTTTGTCATTTTTTTTTCCATTATCAGAGCCCAGAGCGGAGAGACATGTCTTGTTTAGCACCTATGATTGCCAGTCTGTCTTGGCACTGGTGCAATGATCCTGTAACACTGTGCCAATGTAAATAATCTGGCCATTAACCACATATGTGCTACAGCTGATTTGTGCACCCTAAAGGCCAGGAGCACCATAATGCAATGAGGGCACAGTGGCTCTTTATCGTAAATTGGAAACATTGCGCTGATCTACTGCCAGTAAATGCACACAACAGGCATATTGGCTGTCACTTCATGATTCTACAAGGGAACAATTCAGCCGTCCTCGATCCATGCGCAACATCGATATGACTGTGTGCTAGACTAGGTGACTGCGGACCCTGGAATCCTAAAAGTACTGTCACTAGACTACCAAATACCCCGAACAATGCTAAATACCTGTAAAATACCATGAACAATGCTAATTAACTGCTAAATATCCAGAACAATGCTAATTACCTTCCAAATACGCTCCCCGAACAATGCTAATTAACTGCTAAATATCTTGCCAATCCTGCATTTACAAACTCAGATAACTAGCACATGGAATCCTGCACTCACACACTCAGACTAACACACAGAATCCTGCATTCACACACTCAGACTAACACACAGAATCCTGCATTCACACACTCAGACTAACACACAGAATCCTGCATTCACACACTCAGACTAACACACAGAATCCTGCATTCACACACTCAGACTAACACACAGAATCCTGCATTCACACACTCAGACTAACACACAGAATCCTGCATTCACACACTCAGACTAACACACAGAATCCTGCATTCACACACTCAGACTAACACATGCATTCACACTCTGACAGTCCATGCAAATAATTGCCTTCATATACACACACACTGACACTTCTTACATTACTGCATACCGACATTGCATCCTACACACACACAGCTGCACTCCTACATTCATGCACACATAGTTAAATTATATACAAATATGCATACGTTTACAACTTTCACTATTCACACAAATATTTGTCCATATGTGCACTCGGATACTAAAACACTAAATCACAAATAAACAGCTACTCTCCTTCTGACAATATACACATGTATTTATACGCATGCTTTATCAGTAGATGCAAACAAGGTAATACACAGAGCAGTGTGCAGCCTACAATTTATATTATTAAACAGGGGCAGGGTATTATCACCACAAACTGAAAACAGAATCACAAAATTCAATCTAAAATAGTCAAACTGTGACTATGACAGAATTAACAGAATGTTTTCCCATCAGCTATTTTTGCCTTAATTTTGCAGTTCAGTTTTGGCTTAATTAAGCGTTCA